CGATATGGTCTCCTTTGTGTGTGATGTTCCTCCCAAGGAACGTGATTGTGTTTCCCGTTGTGAGTTCACCTGTTGGTCGTAGCAGGACTTGTTTCATGATCTTGTCGAACAGGATGCCTATCTCGGATTGTTCACTGATGAACAGTAGGTCATCTACGTAGACCATGATGCACGCTGTTCCTGCTTTATTTCTGTATACTATATACGTTTGATTCTGTTTTGAGCCTTGTTAGCCCAAGTGCTGTAAGCACGTCTGCTATGTGGTCCTGCCATTGTTTAGGCGACGATCTAAGTCCGTAGATCGCTTTGTTGAGCTTCCACATTATGTGTGTCTGTTGTTGTCGTCGTAGAATTCCTGTGGTGGTCTCATGATGATGTTGAGTGTTGCTGCTGCTGCTGCATGTAGGAATGCTACGCTTACGTCGCCTGTACGTACGGCCCAGTTGTTTACCAGTGCCATTGTAAGCAGTACCCCTAGGATACAGAACAGTGGTGTACTTGCGTAGATCAGGTCATTGTCGCTGATCTTTTCGGTGTATCCTTTTGCGACGATTCGTGCTCGTACTTCTTGTTGTTTGGGTCTAAGTACCCATCGTGATTCTACGATGTTCGATATTTGCTCTTGCGTGAGTGTGTTGCTGTCAACTTCAGTGTACACTCCTTGCTCCTTCATTTCTTGTATCTCCTTTTTCGTTCCCGTTGCGACCTTTGTGGGATCCAATCCTTCTGTACCTTTCAGAATTGGTTCCAGGAGTATCCTTTCATTTTCTATCTCCGGCGGATCCTCGTTTGATGTTGTGACGACTTCCTTGCCGTCCTTTGTTGCAACTTTGATCGCACTTATCCTCATCTTTCCTTTGGATTGTTCTTCTTGTGTTGGTCTCTCCTTGGGTTGTGACGCCTGTGATGTTCTTTGTTGTTTGCTGGTGCTTCCTTCGGCCATGTCATCCTGTCTAGCTCTTGTTGGTGACATCGGCGTTGGAAGTGCCGGTCGTTGTACGTTCGGTGGACTTGTAGCCATCGGCGATGTAGGTTCCGTCGTACGCTTTTGTTTCGTTGGTGACTCGTCGCCTTGTTGTGTTCCTGTGGCTCTCTTGTTCTCGGCCATTGTGCTCGTCGCAGCGTCCTTCTGTTGCGTCGTCTGTTTCCGCTGTGGGAGTGGTAACATTGGCTGTGGTGTACCTGACGACGCGGGCGCTGCAAGAGCCGATGCTGGTGTTCTCCAGGGTCCGACGTTTACTACGTCGAGCAGCTGTTGACTGTACTTGTGTGGCTTGATTTGTCGTCGACTTGTTCGTGCTCGAACACCCTTGTTGTATATCCCTATTAGGGACTCTCCTGTTGTGGTGTCCTTTCCGAGCCAGATTCCGTTGTAGAATCTTGCTTCCAGTTTTGGAAATTGTTTCACTGTGGGGATCATGTGTTGCACTTTTTCTCCAAACTCGCGCAATGCTGTGTGCTGTTCTAATCCCCAGCGGTTGTAGTAGCTGGTGAAGCCGTTGCTGTGCAGTGCATACCTGTTGACGATGTACGCACTGTGTCGTACAATCCACGGCATGATTGGATGTACCATTGTGATGTTTCTGCCGTAGTTCTGCTGCATTTGTGCTCTTAGTGTTCGAATCTGTCCGAACAATGTTCTGTGTGTTCTTTCGACTTCACCTTGTGATTGCGAGCTGTAATTATGCTGGTGACGTTCTTGTGGTAATGTTGCTCATGCTGCTTGCCAACGCATTTGTAAGTGAGATCAAGAAATCTTCCTGATCTGATTGTAGGATTACGTGTGTTGTTCTACCACATTCGACCATGAATTGTCTAAGTTGTTGTACCGCGTAGTGGAACAGTTGTTGTTTGTCCGACAGTTGTATGGCCATCATCATCCCAGATTGGGTGTCATATGGCTGACAGTGTTGGATGTGCTTTCTGGCCGTCGAATCCTTTTGATGTGTGCGAAGTCAATTTGTATGACTGGTTGTTTGCTCTGCTGTTTCGGGTGGTTGTTAGCTCTTTCTCTACCTTGTACGCATGTTGGGCACCAACTCCTGTAGGGAAGGCGCGTGACGTTGTGTTCCAGTATCTCTTGTGTTTTGGTGGTTGTACTATCCTTGCTTTTCTACCTTGTTGTTCTTCCTCGTCCTCTGAGTCGAGTTGTTCTGCGTACTGTTCTTCTTGATCCTCCGAGAAGTTTGTCCAGCCTGTCCATGATGTCTCATGTACCTTTGGTGGCTGTGCGTTCCACTCATCTTCTACCACTTTTTAGTTCGGCTCGTTTCCTACTGGTTATATCTCGGTGAGTCTGCTTGTGCTCAACTTCTTGATGTCTGGTCCGTCATGTGTTTGTTCTGGAATGTAGAAAGCTGTGCGTGGTTGCACATGTACCCTCTTCCAGCATGGTCCTTCTCGGATCCAGTAGTCTCCTGCTGGTTGTAGTTGCGATGGATGCGGAATTCCTTGTCCTGTTCCTGTGGCATCCGTGGCCAGTTGTCTCTCCACTGTTGGTGGTGGCTGTTTTCCTGTGAGCCGCTTTCTTGGATTGTACTGTGTCACAATTGGTGTGACTCTTGGTGTTGTCACTATCTGTTGTTGCTGCTGTTTCGCTCTGAGCTGTTGCTGCAGTGTAGCTGGAAGGGTTGTACCTTTCTTCAGCCTAAACACTGTCTCTCCTTTCACATGTTTAGTTGTGCTTGATGTGGATTGTCCAGATTCTGGTATTGTTCTTCGATGGTCATTGGTGTACCATCCTTTCCTTTGATTGTTTTGCGTCTGTAGTTCTCCAGTCTGTCTAGAGGAACTGGACATTGTGTACGTGCTGGTGTGAACATCGCTTTCCTGAATTGTCGATGTACTCTAACGAGTTTTCGTTGGCTGTTGACTTGCCAGTAGTCTCCTGCATATCCTGTTTGTGCTGTTCCTCCTGGTGTGAGTGTGATTGTTGGCGCGATCATTGCTATCTGTCCATGCTCTGTATTGTGCACTCTTAGTTCAGTGCCTTGTTGGAGCGTTGTGACTTGCGCTTGTAGGTAGAGCAAACCATTTGCTCTCATGAGATCGCTGTTGAAGCCTTTGTCGTGTTGTATCCTGGGGTTGTCATCCAGGACAATCTTGAATCCTTGTTCTATCAGCCTTGTCAGTGATAGGATGGGTTGATTGATGTCACACACGTAGAACGGTATGACAATGCGTTGTCCTTTGGTGTTGTTCATGCGTACCCATTTGTACCCGTACACCTTGATGGGTTGATTTGTAACGGTTCTCAGTTGTGGTCCGTTTTCCGGTGTGAGTGGTTGTAATGGAAAGCTTGGAGCAAACCATGTAGGACAGACGTGTGTCGCTGCACCGCTGTCTACCATGAGGTCTGTGTACCTCAGGTCGTCGTTGTGGTTTCCTTGTTGTTCGGTGGCTGTAGCTATCATGACTTCTTCAAGTCCTGATACTAGCAATTGCGGTTGTTCTGTTCCCTGTTGGATCGCCAATCGTGGCTGTGGTTGCATGTTCACCTAGGTCTGGGCCATGTTGTACCAGTTGCTGTCATAGTTGTTGTTGGAGTACCAGTTGTCGGTGGCATCGTTGTTCTCCCCGATGCCGGTGTCATAGTTGTAGATCGCTACTCTGCATTGTTTCGCCATGTGTCCAGGCTGTCCGCACCGGTAGCAGACATTTGTGGCATGTTTTCCTCTGTTGCCTTTTCCTCCATAGTTGTTGTATCCAAAGCCTTTTCCTTTGCCATGTCCTTTTCCTTTTGCTTTGTTGTTGTAGTGGCCTCCTTGTCCCTTGAACGGGTTTCCTTGTTCAACTGGTTGGTTGTACCGGTTGTCTCCTTTACCTCCTTTGTTGTAGTTGCCGTAGCCGCCGTAGCCTTTTCCTTTGTTGTGATTGCCTTTGCCTGTACCTTTGCCTTTCTTGCCTCTTCCTTTATTGTGGTACCATGTGGCTCCTATGTCCATCGGCGCTGGTCCTTGGTTGTTGTTGCTGCTTCCGGCTGTTGTCGCTTGTAGTCTCGCAAACTGTGATGCTGCTCTGTGATAATCTATCACGAGTGATCTGATTTGCGCATAAGTTGTTATGTTGCCTGCTTGTAGTTGAAGATGTTGTTGTAGTGGTCCTCTTGTTTCGTTGAGCAGTATTGCAATCTTTACTGCATCTGGTAGTAGTGTTCTGTTGTCTTGTTCGTACTTGGCGAGTTGGTATTCCGATGTTGTAAAACGTTCTTCGAACTTGTTCTCATCTAGTTGTGGTTTGGGTAGTCTTGTAAGGTAGCCTATGCTCCTTGTTCCGAGTGGTGTCGGGTATCTTGCATGTAGCAGCCGCCATGTCTCAAATCCGTTGCCTCGTAGGTTCTGTCGGCATATTGTTCATGATGCTCCATCGCATGTGTTGACTAAGAGGAAATGTAAGTCTCCACTCAGTCGTACCCAGTGTTCTGCTGTTGCTTGGTCAGGTGCTGCTGTTTCCAATGTGTCATGTGTGATTGTGGCTGTTGCTGCTTTCGACTGTCTCAGAAGCCTGTTGCACACTGAGTCTTGCAGACCCAGGTATGCTGTCATCCTGTACTTCCACTTTTCAAATGTGGAGTACTCTCCGTTGAATCTTGGTGGTGAGATTCTGTGTCTGTGTATGCTCGACAGTTGTTGTTGTAGTTGTGCCTGTGGTTGTGCTCCTCCTTGAGCTGCCATTGTTACTCACTGTGTTGGTGTACTTTACCGTTGCGTGGATCGTTACCAGGTTTAGAGCTGCTGCTCCGCTACCATGTTAAAGTGAATGTTCAAGTTGCATACCTGAATGCCTAATGGTGTAAACCTGTGAGTGAATCAGCGCGGCAAGCGTTGTATCCTATTTGTCCTCTGGGGCGCACTGTATAGGCTCAAGGCCTTGATGTGAGACATAGCAGCAACAGTGATGTATTGGGAGCATTCGATTTAACAATATTTGCTTGCAAATGCGCAGCTTGTGCGTTGACCGCACGCCAAGTTGCCTTTGAATCGAATGAGTCGAATCCGCAGGCTTTCATGGCCATTTGCCATCGGCCTGGCTGCAGCAACCAGTCATGGAATGGTCAGCCAGGAGAGTTCTGCAGCTCAGCTTGACCAGCCAACTGGGACTAAGCGGCCGGGTGCACGCATGGGCCTTCATGATCCTTTACGCCATAGAGAACATCTGATGAGGCGCATGCCTTATGTGTGAAGAGGCCCGAAGTCAGCACTGAGGCAGCATTGAGTGCCACTCCCGCTTTGAACTGCCAAGCGAGCCCAGCTCTGCTTTGCTAGTCGCGAAGCTGCATTCAACTTGAGAGCTGGCGATCCATGGATCCTTGTAATCAACAGGACGCTTCCACTGTTTGACATTTTGCGAGTCACATTTGGCGTTTTCATGTCCAATGTCCGGGGTGTCCGGGAACAAATATGATTGGCGTTCATTCTCCGATCTGGTGTGGATTAAAAGAATGTGTTTGCATGTTGCGTCCTCTTCGCGTGTTTCTCGTGTCTGTTGTTTTAACTAAGCGCCGTAAACTGCGGTGCTTGGCTTGAGTTTTGCCAGTTGTAGTGACACGCGCCTCATCGACACCATACCGCTTCGCTCGTCTGCGGGGGCCCGAAAAGGTTGGCTGCCACATCTGAGTTGGGGACTGATCCTGAGGGATCTCCCCCGAGGATGTCTCAAGGCCGACGCCCACAGCGCCTGCTCCCGAAACAGCTGTAAGTAGCCCAAACAGATGTTTGGCCTGCGCCCGCTTCAATTTCAACCATATAGCGTCTACAAGACTTTGAGCGTTTAGGTGTCTGGGCACACTTCAAGATGTAGCCGTAAGGTACCGGACTCACTTTCCGCTGTTGCCTTCATCCTTTGCAGATGCCGTGCAAGGCCTCGGCACAGGGCCCCAATATGCGTGCTTGTCCGAGCCGTAGCCTCAGCAAACTGTGTGCGTGTCCAGTCGCTTGCAGCGTTGCTGCTGCAGGCTGCGCCCTCATTTGATGAATATAAGTTGATGAAAGGCCCATCCCAAATTGAGTGTGGCCGCAACTGTAGCACGACTGTGACAGGCTGCCTGGTTGCCTTGTCAAACAGCAGACAACTCCCAACTTGAGTCTCCACAAATGAGGTGACCCAGTGCAGCGCGAATCGAAGAGCCAAGCTGCAACTCGATCCAGGTTTGCGCATTTGTTGGGCTACAGACAGCGCGTTGCAGTCCGGATCTAAACCACCGCTTGGCAATGTTTCGTACTGGGGCATTGTTCTCTGTGCTAGGGCCTTCGCTTGGTCTTGCAAATGTTTTTTTGCACAACTGAGGCACATGGACCGCCCACATGCGCGCGTCCAACTTTCAACGGGAAAGTTTGGGAGCTCTGAGCCTGGGCAAGAATTCATCATTGCCATGGTTCGGGTGCTAGGTGCTTCATGGTGCAAGTTGTCCTTAGAGCATCAGTTGAAGCATCTATGATAGCAAAGCCCCACAGATGTAGATGAGGCAGCCGTCGAAGCTGGGACGGCGAATTTGGTTTTGGTCCCGCAGCATGGCAGAAATTCAGACGAAGTAATTGCAGCGCGTCGTGTGGGCGTCCCGCTTGGCAATTGTCCATGATAGCGAGATGAAGTGAGATGGGCCTTGCAAGTGTGACTGCGCCTGTGTACCCGCATGTGCGTGTGTGTGTGTGCGGAGTGGCAAAATCAACCTTTTCTTCTTCAGCAGGGGGGCAAGGCCTCCAGTGATGAACCTTGCCCAACGAAGCTGCATCACTGGAGGGGATGCAAGGCCTGATCAGCCTTGTGTACCTGCGACATTTCAGTGATTCTGAAAGTCTATTTGGCCCCCTTGGTTGCGGCGCTGTTTGTGCTTCTTGTTCTTTCCGGTAACGTTTTCGTCACGAGAGGGAAACCGAGTGCATCGCGAGCCGAAACTCACCCACTCGAGACTCATCGGTTGTACTCGAGACTCATCAGTTGTACTCGAACGATTAGCGTCCTCCCTTGGGAGTTGAAGTGTGATCACCCCAGCTCGGGGGAACCTCGGGTGTACCCATCGTGATGGCCGGTTCGCCGCCTCTCAACGTTCTTATCGCAGTCCAGCGGAATTTCACGTTTAAGCAGGAACGAGGTTTCACTAAAGGGAAGACAGCCACCAGATCATAGCTACGTCTCACCCTTCCTCCTCGCCTTCGTCGTCCGCGTGTCCGTCGTCTGGCCCATCGCCCGTTTAGGGATGGCTTCTTCTTCCTCCCGGTCTCTACTTTCTGGTTTTCGTGACCCGCGTGTTTGTCTTCCTTCTCTGGATGGCCTGCTTGTCCTCGCGGCGTTCACCTTTTTCCTCTTCGTTGTCTTCTTGTCTGTCTACCTGTTCCTACTCCTCGTTTTCCTCGCGCCGTTTGGCTTGCCGTCTTCTTCTTCCCCTTCCGTTGCTATTTCGCGTTCGTCCTCTTGGCCCCGTTGCGGGATTCGACGCCCTCCTCTTCGAGCCTCGGTCTTCATCCTCTGTGCTGACCCGGGCGGGATGCGACGCCCTAAAAACGCTTACTACAACCTCTCTTTTCCTTTTTTCCCCCTTTCCCCCCTCTCCCTTCCTCCCTCTTCTCTCTTTCCTCCTTTTGTTTCCTGGTCTTCTGCTTCTCCTTCCTTTCTTTTCTTCCTTTTCTCCTTTCCCCGGGCGGGCTGCGGCGCCCTAAATACGCATCTCGTTCCCCTTTGTCTTCCTTTTCCCTTTCTCTCTCTCTCTCTCTCTCTCTCTCTCTCTCTCTCTCTCTCTCTCTCTCTCTCTCTCTCTCTGTCTCTCTCTCTCTCTCTCTCTCTCTTTCTCTCTCTCTCTTTTTTCTCACCCCCCCCCCCCTTTTTCCAACTACTTCCTGTTGTTCCTCTTCGCCCGTTTAGGGATGGCCTTCCAGGTTTAGGATACCAGTAGAGCCGGCGAAGCCGGTGGGCGGAAGTTTCAAAAATATAAAAACTATAGTTCTCTTTCTCTTTCTTTTCTTGACTCTTTTTCTCCGTCATTCTTCGTTTGTTCCTTTCTTTCCTTCCTTCCTCCCTTCTTTCCTTCTTTCTATCTGTCTTGTCTTTCTTTCGTTTGCTTGTCTATCTATCTGTCTCTACCTATCTATACCTAACTACCTATCTATCTCTCGTGTTATCTATCTATCTGCTTATCTATCTATCTATCTCTATCTATCTTCTCTATCTATCTCTCTGTCTCTTTATGTACATATCTACCTATCTCTCTATCTCTCTATCTCTCCATCTCTCTATCTCTCTATCTCTCCATCTCTCTATATCCCTCTATCTCTGTCTCTCTCTTGCTCGACTCAAGCCCAAGACAACTTTGACATGACCACGCGGCCTGCGCCGGCACGCGTGGAGATTTTTCGGCTTGAGCCCAAGCCGACTTTTGCTGCCTGGACATGACCACGCGGCCTGCGCCGGCTTTTCGGCTCGAGCCTAAGCCTTAGGCCAACTTTTCCTGTGACATGACCACGCGGCCTGAGACGGCACCCGTGGCAGATTTTTCGGCTCGAGCCCAAGGCCATTTTTACTGCCTTGACATGACCACGCGGCCTCAGCCGGCACGCGTGGCCGATTTTTCGGCTCAAGCTTGGAGCCATCTGACCTTCACTTGGTGGACTTTGACCGACTTCGCCCAGACATCTGTCTGCCGGTTTGTCCGGTTGATCCATGTGCCGGGCGGGCGGGCGGGTGCGCGCTGCGCGCGCGCGCGCGGCCGGGCCGGAAGGGCGGCGCGCGCGCGCGCGCATCACGACCACGCGGCCTGACCCGGCACGCGTTGCAGATTTTTCGGCTCGAGCTCGGAGCCATCTGACCTTCACTTGGTGGACTTTGACCGACTTCGCCTAGACATCTGTCTGCCGGTTTGTCCGGATTGATCATGCCGGGGCGGGCGGGCGGGCGCGCGCTGCGCGCGCGCGCGGCCGGGCCGGGCGGGCGGGCGTGTGCGCGGGCGAGTGTATCCGCGTGGCCTCGCTCCATCCAGTTGTTCATCGGACAACTTCACCTTCTCTGTAACATATCTAACCACCTATGTATGTGCCATTCTATCTGCAGATCCATGTGTTGATCTTTCCATGCCCCATCAACCTGTCTGTCTACCTACTCAAGCCCTTCTATCGGTTCACCAGACGATCTGCTTATCTGTCTATCTATCTACCTCTCTTTCTATCTGTCCATGCATCCATCCATCCATCCATCCATCCATCTATCTATCTGTCTACTAGGGGCCTATCTCTCTTGCTATCTCTCTGTCTATTCTATCTATCTATCTCCCTTTGATCTATCAATCTATCTATCTATCTCTCTTTTTCTCTATCTATCTCTTTCTTTCATCTAGCTATCAATATATCTATCTCTCTATCTATCTATATCTTTTTCTGTCTATCTATGTCTCCATCTATCTATCTATCTGTCTATCTCTCCATTCTCCATCTATCTCTCTATCTAGCTACCTATCTATCTACCTCTCTAACTATCTGCTTTCTATCCAACCTATCTTCTACTTTATATCCAATCTATCTATCTAATCTATCTATCTAATCTATCTATCTATCCATCTCCCTCTCTCTCTCTTTATCTATCTATCTCTCTACGCGTACCTAAACTTGCGAAAGTGCTGCGCCTGCCACGACATCTGTACTTGACCTTGCGAAAGTGCTGCCCCTGCCACGAAACCTGTACTTCACAAATATTGATCAATAAAAATAATATTTGTTTTATTGTTAGAATTTATATTTATGTGTAATTATTTTGTGTATTCAAATTTATTAATATTATTGAAAAATATTCATAAAATCAAATTAAAATTACTTGTATTTATATTTTTAGTTTCTTCGTCATATTCAATTTTATATTTCTCTAAATTATATTGTCTTGGTTTCTTTACTTCTCCTTTATTCAATTTATATAACATTGACGCCCTTAAATGTTTGTATTCTGCCCCTGCTTTTTTCCATTGCCTGTATCTTCTTTTTATCATCATTTTTATCGGTTTTTTTATCATCATTTTTATTATTATCATCATTTTTATCATTAGTTTTATCGTTTTTGTTTTATATTTTTGTGTTCTACTTTATTTAAAAATGGTTCGTATTGTTTTAGTCTATTTATTTCGTCTTGTGCTTCTTTTTACTTCTTTTGATTTTATTAATAATTCATTATTTGTATCTTCTAATTCGTTAATTCGTTTTTCTTTTTCATTATCATCACTTAAACAATTAATAATTTTA